GTGGGTGCAGGCTCCTTGGTGGTTGTGGGTGCAGGCTCCTTGGGGGTAGTGGGTGCAGGCTTCTTGGTGGTGGTGGGTGCAGGCTCCTTGGGGGTGGTGGTAGCGGGGGCTTTGGTTGTAGTTTCAGCCTTGGGTGTAGGTTTCCCAGGCACTTGAGTTGTGGGTGCTAAATCTTTAGCAGATGTTTTCTCTGTATTGCGTGTCTCTTTAGCTGAAGTAGTCTCCTTTTTCGTGCTAGCTGAAGTTTGTTTATTTGTTATAGAAGTCTCTTTAGTTTCAGATGTTGTCTCTTTCTTGGCTGTCAAAGATGTCTCTTCAGATGCATCAGCATTAGGTGGAAGACTGGGTTTAGGATTTGTTGGTTTTGCTGTTGTACTCTTGGGAGATGTGGTAACTTTGTTGCTTTTAGTGGTAGGAGCATCAGGAGTTGGGGTGGGCTTGAAATCCTCATTGTCCAGACCACTTCCAGGTTCATCTACAGCTGGTGGTTCTGGGGGAGGTGTCTTTTTAGGAGTTCTTTTCTTCTTGTTGTCTTTTACTAAAGGGGAAAATATACATCTTGTTATTTTAATATATTTTTTTCCTTTAACAGTGACATAAAGGTCTCATCTTTATTATTGACTACTTGTGTGTTTCTAGGCAACCTTCTAGCCTCTAAATATATCTATCCTTTAGTTGATTGTGAATACGCAAGAGTGAATGCTTGGAGTGAATACTTAATCTATCTTATTGGGCTGAATGATGTACGAGATGACCAGAACGAGTTAAACCCTAAACAATTAATACATGGAAGTCATTGGCAATTTTGATATTAGCAAGATGATCAATAACACTAATTCATCTTTTTGTATAGTGTTCTTTACCCCTCACTTTCTCCACTCTTGTTCTTCACTGCCTAGGGCTCCTTCCTTCCTTCCTTCCAATGTCACCTAGTTGCACTGCACCAATTACCTTAGAGACCTCTTCAACCAGCATTGAGGAATCGGCCTCAGTCACACACACACCCCTACCCCCGGGTCCTTGCTGAGCCCTGTTCCCCTTTTCTTAGCTAAACGTGACAGTCCCTGGAGACATGGACAGGAAATTAGGCTGTCATGGCAGCAAAACCCAGGATTTCCCATAGTAGCTACCCTACAGAAGTACAAAGCCAAGGGGCACTTCCCTGAGATGAATTCCACTTAGCAAACATGTATTATTACACTTTCATTGTGTGCAAAGTTTTCTGGGACTCAAAGATTAAATATCTGGCTATTCAGCTAGAGAGACTGTTTCAGAGGAAAGTGCCCAGAAAATGAAGTTCTTCAGAACTCTATTATCCAAAATTCAGTATTTCCTGGAGAAACAAAATATACAGTATTTTAGAATTTGAAGAAATGATAAAGGGAAGAACAAAGGGAATCTCCTTTCAGGCAATAATAGCTTACTGTGTAGCACAGACTCTACTAGAGAAAAAGCAGTCAGATATAATTTACCAGGAAAATACTACGGAAGATCTGTACAATGTGGATAATAATTGCCTTTCATAGGGGTTTATGAGCATTTAGTGGATTAATATTTATAAAAACACTTAAGGCACTGTATAAGTGTTTATTAAATAAAATAAAAGAAGGCTGGGGAGGGGAATGAAAATTCAAGGAAGACAGAAGAAGAAAGAAAAATGGTAACAGGTGGAGAGGAATTGGAGCAGAACACTGTAAGTAACTAATCTCTGGTGGCAGCCTGCGCTTCCACAGTCACTGCCACAGCATGTTCTTTTGCTTGGCTTTCGAGAGTGTCTTCTCTGCTGTTTGTCATTAATTTCCTGTAGGAAGTATTCATTTGGAACTTTCTAAGATAAGTTTATAAAGCTTTAGGCCCTCCCCCCATACTTCGAGATATTCTCCCAACACACATTACTTTTAAATAGTCATTGTTAATACGGCATTGATATAGTCTTTGATCTTTATCAATGCTCAAACCTTTGGGTTTCTTCTGTAATTCTCTATTAGCAGCTGAATTTTTGGAAGACTTGACTTTCCGAATAGTTGAAGAGGAAGAGGAGGAGGAGGAGGAGGAGGAGGACTCTTGATTTTCAGAAACTGAATGTTCTATAAATCAAATAAAAAAGGTTGATCACACCAACAGTGATTTAAAACAAAAAAGAACCGCCAGTCTAAATGCAATAAGAAATACTGTTTATTAATCTATGAATATCTGTGTTCTGCTTTTATTTGATCAATGGTCCTTTTGTCAGTTAAAAACAAGGAACCTGAACTTAGTACAGATACTAACACTACAACTAGTATCTCTTTACTTTACCATAGCTGCCAAAATTTCTCATGGAATCTAATTATTCCACAAAGATAATGATGAGGTTGTTTTTATATTTGTTTTTTACAGATTTGTCCCTTCTGATTTTTGCTTTTTAAACCCAGACCCATGCTGGGTTTGGTAAATAAGAAAGACTGTAAATAACCAAGGGTTTACACTTTATTTTAAATTGTGACCTAAAGCAAAGTCAGAAAAAGTTAAAGTGTAATGAACTTTTCATGACTCCTAAGATTACCCTGTTTTCTTAGGTAATCTTAAGATTACCACCTACAGGTTATTTCAGCTAAGAAATAGCTCCTGTTTTTGCATCTGTCTTCTTCCTACCTTCTGTTATTTCCTCTGATTCTACAACTTTCTTAGTCTTCTTCTTGTCTGGTGATTTGGGTGAACGTTTGGTTGTTGATTTGATGTTTGGACGTGCTTCTGGAGGCCGAGGTGCAGTCTTTGAAGATGTTGGAGGTGTGGATTTATGCACTGAGGCCAAGCAAGACAGTTCAATTAACATCTTCGTTATACTCATCAGCAACCCTAACCTTGAAAAGCTCTGATGCATCGGCTTCAAGAATAGATGCTGGTGAAAGCCACTGCGGGTAAGTGCTAGTGCAACACTAAAGACTCCAAACCAATTCATTCCAAGGATGCACTGCTATAAAATGTTGGTCTTCAAATTGTTCAATCATGACAAGGAGAAAAATCTCAGGGGTCAGAAAGCCTGAATTCTAGTCCTAGATCTGTAAGTGTCTACCATTGTGACCTTGGGCAAATAGCCTAACTCCTCTCGAACTTCATTTTCCTATCTGCAAACTGAGATGTTTATTCAAGATGCTTTCTGAAGGTATCTGCCTGCCTAAAAAAAAAAAAAAAAAAACCAAACTTAATTCTTGAGCTTCATCCATTATACTACTCTTCTGTAATTATAAAAATCATCCTACATGTGGATGACAGGATGTTTATGCTCTTGAGAAGATATAATTACATTTCTCCTGTTTTCATATTCATTTAAATCAAATTCTGTGACTTTACCTTTCATTTATTTTTTGATTATAAAATTCTATATGAATATTTATTCTTGTGAGAATTTCACATGTTCATATTATCCTTTCCCTCAAGATATGGGCTACCCTTCCAAAGATAAACACCCGTTCACGATTTGGTGTGTATCTTTTTAACCTTTTATCTCCCTCACCCTGCCCCTTTTCATGTCTAGAAGAGAAGATCTACGGCAATTACGGATCATCAGAAACCAGAAGGAAAGAAGAGGGACTTCTGAAAGGTAAGAAAACAGAGACCACTGGGGATTCTCTGGTACAGAGGAATTGTGATGAATGCTGTTGCTCTCACCCAACGTCCCCTCAGAACTCTATTGCCCTGACTGCACGAGCTGACCACTGTACTTCTTTTTCCTCCAAGCTGACGAACCATCAAGGGTCTCAATCTGAGAAACAGCTCTGTCATGTACTTGCTAATGCTTTTGCGCAGAACAGTTAGTTAACCTCTTGTCCTCAGTTTTCTTCCCCACATTCAAGAGGCATTTAGATGGCTGTGGTTCCTTCAGTTCTCAAAAGGCTTTTTTAGGTAGATAGATGCCTGTAAGCCATGTTTATACTGAAACACCTAAATTGCGAGTCTCTAGTAGTTTTAAGAAAATATAAGTCTTGATGTTCCAGGTGGTTCCTTTATTAGGGGCTCTGATTATCTGGTGACTTCTATAAGTGAAATGGCCTGGCATGGCCTTCATCACTTTTTCCACGGGGTTCTGCCTGAACCTCAGTTACTCTGACCCAACACTTCACAGCATAAAGTATTATTTTTATGGACATGCTTTCTCGATGCTTCAGCACTCTCTAATCATCTTCTCTCCCCACCCATCCTCTGCCCAAAATAAATTCTTAGTTTTCTGTCACATAGCCAAAACAATTATCAGAATAATGAGTAAATATGTAACACTCATCATGGGGCCTTCCAAAAGCTGCAAGAATGTTGAACTCTGATGGGGTTTTTCTTTTCACCTGATTACCAGGGTGTTGTCTTCCTTCACTTGGGAATGCTTTCCAGTAAAAACATCTAGGTTAAGAAACATCCCTCAACTCTGCTGATTAAGTTTCCCACTGTTTTAAAGAAGCAGGAAGTGCAGCTTTGTTCAAATAAAATGATACAGTTATGCAACGCAGGCTTATTTTCACTTTTACCTCCACAGATATTCCCATTTTAACAAAGCAGAGTTTAAGAGCAAACATTTGATGGGGGAAAATAATTCATTATTTACACATATTTTTTAAATCTTTGTTTAGTAACACCTGGAGGGTTTTGTTAGCCTCTCAGAGTAAGTACTCTTTCAGGACCTTGTAACCAGAGAGGAGGGTGTTTACTGGGGACTGTCCCTCTCCTTCAACTGTCATGCACAGGCACTGAACAGAGTCTCCTGAAGCGCCTGGAGGGGTGGGAAGGAACCTATAACTGACGGACAGTTGACTTCTTAGTAGATTTGCCCATAAATTTAGCAGCTTAAATGAATTCATAAATATACTTGTTTAGAGAAACTAATTCTATCCATAAATATGTATTCAAACACCAAGACCAAAGGCACAGGTAGCCAAGAGGACAGCTGACTTTGTGAAATCGGCAAAAGTGAGACAAGGAATCATCAAGTGAGTTAGTTACTGTTGATTTAGCCTGAAATTGAACCACGTGGGAAGATAGAAGAGCACGTGTCCACTCAGCCCCTACCCTCTCCATGACTCCTTGTGCCTGGCTGAGCCAGGGGGTGTTCTTGTTGGAAGATATTTCTCTTCCATTCTTCTCCATGAAACAAAATCATTATGAGATAATCAATATGGTAGTAAAATCGAGACCTTAGGTGGACGGCATGTGAAACGTTATCAGTGGTGTGAGGACAGGTGCACAGACCCAGCTGTGCTGGGAGCTCGGTCAGTACTGTGAGGCTTACCTTCTTCACAGAAGCTCTCGTAGTCTGGGCAGCACTTGCCATACTTCTTACACTGGGCATCACAGTCACACTCCCTCCCTCTCTCAAAGGACTCAAAGCAGCGGCCTTTACAGGAAAGCTCTACCCGGAGCAAAAGAAATCATGAAACAGTACAGATTATTCCATATGAATCCATACGCACGTCCTCAGCAGCCATTTCCCATTTTAGGGCTGACTCGAGTTGCAAAGTGCATTTCTCACTCTTTATTTGGAATGTGGAACACATCCTCAATTAAAAATGGATGGTGTCCCAAATGCAGACAGCCCAAGTCAAGAAAGAAATGGTGACTTAGGGCAACTTTTCCTGTCCTTCACGGCTCCAAAAGACACCCCAATGCTGCTTGAGTCATTTATACATACAGACAATAGAAAATTGGGAAATGTCTGGATCGTGAAGTACCCTTCGTAAGAAATTTCTTCATCCTCTCCTCCTCACACCAATCTATGCTTTGTAATAGATTTATAGTAATTGAATGTTTGGATCTCATAAAGAGCTGGCTTAATATAAATGGGTTACTTTGGGGGCTTGACAGTTATTTACTACATGTAAGGCAGAGATCTTTATTGTGACAAACTAGGCAAGGTATAGAGAGGAACTATTTCAGCCAAGTCCCCTGCTGTGGAATATAGAAGAGAGATCTGCTCATTTCAGAGCAAGCCTTGGCTGGAGAGGTACCCAGTGACTCACCAAGGCCTGTTAGGAATAATTACCGTATCCAATACATAAATTATGCAGCAATGTATTTATCAGTTTCACAGCAAATTCTAAAGCAACTATAACTCTAAACAAGTTTAATTATAATTTCCATACATTGATTATGAAATGTCTCTGTGTTAACAAGAAAATGATCCATAATACCTTCAAGAGAAATACCATCCCTAATTTAAAATTCACACCTTTGGATTTTAACTAAAGCTCACCATTAAACTAATACTTGAAGAGCCTTTTTCAGGTAATTTAGAAACATCTTGCTATCAAAAGCAAAATCAAACAGTGGACAAGATTATTCTGTTCTCACCAATTCTTTTGATGAACCTATTACAAGGCTCCATCACCAAGTGATTTCATCTCTGATTTTAGTAAACAATTACCTATTACTAATTACTTAACGTCTCCTGAGTCACAGTGTTGTCTCTGTCTAAAACAAGACATTTTACTTCAATGAGT